GTACTGTCCTACACTGGTCTTTGTGCAATGTACAGATGAGCAGTAGAGGTGGCCGGCCGGGAAGAAGAACTAGCTATAGCTAGGTAGAGAGAAAGCTATACGGATCGATTTATTTCGTTTGCTTGCTTCCACAGGCCGGGAACAGTGTTTGAGAGTACATAGCCATCGATTCCAAATTTGCAGCCACTAGTCCTTTCTATCTCCTGTGGTTGAACACACCTGTCGTGATATTTTTTTTTAGAAAGGCGACAAGAGATTTGCCGGATTTGATTAGACGAGCAAAAGAACAAGAAAAAATAATTACAACAAACAATGCGAGACCAAGCTCACCACCGCCATGGCACACCGGCCGACAACCCAATTAGATGTCCAACTGGACGACAACTTAAAGTTTAGAAAAACACCATAAAGCCGAAAAAACACAAAACCAGAGCAACTGAACAGTGACCAACAAATACTAGAACTACTTCTGTTGTGGTCCAGCATGAAATCTTGTTGCCAACTGGTATTGCTCTATATCTTTCTTGCAAAGGAGTGCCACCTGACTAGGCTGCAGCGACTTGTTCTGAAATGTTCTTCGATTCCTTTCCTTCCATAAATTCCACCAAAAATAGATCATAATGCCATCAAACGTCTTTCTCTGATCTTTGTCTGTCTTAATTCTGCACTTTCGCTAGTAGTTGTGCAGGGATCCTGTCATTCCGATAGTATCAATCACCGATAGGCTGAACCATCGCTTGATGAAGGACCAAACTTGCCTTGAGAAAGTGCAGTCCTTGCAAAGATGTATCGGTGTTTCCGGGTCAATGCCACAAAGCTTGCATACTGGATCATTTGGCCAATTTCTTTTAATCAAATTATTTGCCGTTAGGATTTTTTTATACAACAAAGTTCAAGCAAAAAATCTACATTTAAGTTCCGCCTTTGCTTTCCAAATCGGTTGAAGTTTCGGTTTGCTGAATGTGCCCTGGAATTGAATGCAGTAGGCACTTTTGGCTGTGTATTCCCCATCCACCGTCCAACGCCAACGGATGTTGTCCTCTATATTCTCGATTAGCTGGATTTGGCCCACCTCTTCTCAAAGGGTTACGTAGTCTCTTATTTCCTGTGCAGTGCCTAATGGAATGACATGTGATATCCAGCGGTTATGTTTCAAGGCCTTTTGTACCGTGAGATTTTTCCTTTTTGATTTCTTGAACAATGCTGATGCAATCGCTTGTCCTGATATCTATGTATATGTACGTGCTGATGCTACTAGCTAGCGCAATTCTCAAGTACAGTACTTGGAAGAAATTTCAGCGCAAACATGAAGCATCTATGGTAGGCGACTAGTCCTAGCTAGTAGAGTAGTAGATAGCTAGATCTATGAAAGCTAGACACCGTTTCGATCGATCGCTTTGTTGAACGAGTTAAGCAAACATGTCGTCTGAATACTATACAAAAAACTATGATGGGGCTTTACACATTCGAATTGTACATGCAAGATCTGGACAAATCACGAGGTTCTTATTCTATTCGGGTCCTTCGATAACTAGAAATAATCAACAAGTGACTTCCCATGCATGACATAGTATAATACCACTAGTGAAATCGGCGCAATCTTTCCTTGCTTTCATATATTCTCCCGGCCCATCCATCCATCCATGCTGGCGTGTGATGCATTTTTTTTCCTCTCCAAATGGTATGGTGAGAGCACAAGGGATTTGTGCTCACCGTCTTATAATTAGATCATTACATTCTCCTAATTGGCTGTCTTGTCATCAGGTACCAATTAAACAAATAAACCTGAAACGACCCACTTTCCCTAGCTTGCCTATGATTGATTAACTAGCTAGAGAGATTAGACAGAAGATAGCAATTCGGTTCTTTCAGCGTAGCAGGAGGATCTAGTAGGAAGTGCACCTGGCCGGCCTTCCCATTTATTGATGAGCTAGCTGTAGCTACTATATATCTCATTCATTCAAGGGGACTAGTGAGTGGTCAGTAATCGATTCAGGGCGTGTTTAGATCTAAATTTTTTTGGGTTTTGGGTACTGTAGCATTTTCGTTTTTATTTGACAATTAGTGTCTAATTATGGACTAATTAAGTTCGAAAGTTTCGTCTCGCGATTTCTCACCTAATTGTGCAATTAGTTTTTTTTTTCGTCTACATTTAGTACTCCATGCATGTGCCGCAAGATTCGATGTGACGGGTACTGCGCAAAAATTTTTGGTTTTTGGATGTAACTAAACGGGGCCTCAGTTAAGTTATTTACTCCTTTCAGAGATTCAGTGCATCGATCAGGCAATGGTCATTTTAAAGTGCCAGAATGCAGCAGACTGGTGAGTGCCCAGTAGGCAGCTAGTGCTGCTGCTACCTGCAGAATGCACGAGCCTTCAGAGAACCTTCAGCTTTCACCTGAACTAATGCGAACAAGGTTCTACTACAGCTTGAATCCATGCATCTCCAGGCAGCTAGTGTCCAAAACGAGATGACCGTCGACACACACACACACACACACACACACACACACACACACACACACATATATATATATATATATATATATATATATATATATATATATATATATATATATATATATATATATATATATATATATATGTATGTATGTATGTATGTATAAAAGTTGAACCAGCCGCCGACGATGTATATGCATGAGTAGCACCAGCAGGTTTTTGTTTATATGATATGAGAGAAGAGAAGAGAAGAATATAACATGCATCATGAGCAGCAGGCGCTACCACACATGGTTTCATGATTCAGCTTTGGAGGCGCGTATAGACGACAGTGGCTTTAATAAGATTCTGCCCCGCTTTTGCTCACTGAAGATTGTGTGCGCACTAGCTAGCACTACTGGTCATTTCAACCTGAAGCAGCAGCAGCAGCTGGCTGGACCGAACCTGCCGCGCGCACTGAAATCCTCAAACATCTCTCTCCACCGCCTGCATCTGCATGCGTTCCTTTGGGGCGAAGGGATCAACGATACATATGTACAGTACTAATAATGTATACAAGTGAAAAGCTGGGTGCAGGAGAACGAAATGAAGTAAAGCTACTTGCAGATTTCAGAGATGCACGCATTCATGGCGTACTGCAACGATGGATTCAGATCTCAGAGATGTCGAAGGATCGATGGATGGATAGAGATATGCATGCAGTTCGATCAGTAGCAGTAGTACACGGATGGATAGATGGATGGGTGGATGAATGCATGCATGGACCAGCCGCAGCAGGCACATGGCAGAATGACGGAGGCAGAGAGCTTGTCTATGGCGGCGGTCAATTAAGCTGACCGATGGATGCATGAATCAGCTAGAAGTAGCTTCCTAGGTAGTAGGTACTCGTAGCTTAAGGAAGCGCCGGCCTCGACGATCGCCTGGCCCCAACGCATGCACTGCCAACGCATGCTCTCAATCAAGCCGTCAGAACAACTGCCGGTGGAAAGCGCAACCAGCACCAGCACCGGGAGGAGGCAACCAAAGTCACTGGCAAGGCAGGCCAGCGCCGTCCGGGCCGGCTCGTCACCTCACCTCTCGTTCCCTTTACTTGGTTCTCCCTCCCCTACTCTCCTACTGGCCTGGCCCGCCCTGGCCTCTCTCTTTCCGCGGTGTCCGGCCGCGGCCGGTGCCCGGCAGCAGTGGCATCTACCTGGGCGGGCCGCGGCCATCGTGCGACCGACGCGCGGAGAGGCTATGCCTGGGACGGCCAGGTGAGTAAAGCGACGGGGGCCGCAGCTGGGCGCCTGAGGCGATAATGATTGGTACTGGTACTGACCGGCCGGCCGGCGCTTTAGTTGCTTAGCCGCGTAGGGAGAGGGAGTGGGGAAGGATCGGAGTCGGAGGGGCCGGCGGGACGCCGCTTTCGCCCTGCACTATCATGGCTGACGATCGCGAGCTGATCGATCGATTCGATTAAAGCCAAAGGCGCGCGCGCGCTCAATGCATGGCTGGGATCGGAATTAATTTGAAAGCAAGCACCGGAGATGGCTGCCGTTTCATGCGACTTTCCTTTTCTTCGCCCGACACCGCCCCCGGATTCTTCGTTTCGTTGCAGATCTCTTGGTTCTAGTTGTAGCAGCCAAATCACGCATACATAATGCGTCCACGCGCAGCGCATCGCGAGCGATGTGTATGCATACGGTGCGTCCAGCTCCAGCACAGCAGAGCATAAAGTTTATTTAGCGAAGGTCATGCTCACGCCGGCCAACAGTGGCGTCGCCGACAGAAATCGTTACAGACAAAAACGAATCATACAACGCGACATTCTCACTCGCAGATTCAAAACCCCATACTACGGCTGGAGGAGCTCACAAGCAGCTAACATCAGCATATAGAGTATTATACTCCCCGTATTAGTAAATTCTAAAATTTACACTGAAATAAGGCATGCTCACATTTAACAAAGTTTGTAAAAAAGAAAACCATAATCCATGGATACCTTCATCATTTGAGCATTTCCAAGTTTTTTTTAAAAAAAGTGCAGGAGTATCATCTCACTCAGTAGCAAAACCGAAGCTACAACGATTCAAGCAACAGCAAAGTTAATCCTGAATCAAACGATAAGCAACAGCAAAGTTACTACGGCTGGAGGAGCTGACGAACCAGCTAACATCACCATATATTATATGTATTTATATTTATATTTTAATAAAGTGCAGGAGTATCATTTTATCTCAGTAGCAAAACCGAAGCCACAACGATTCCAAGCAACAGCAGCCTAGTTTCCTGACTCATCATGTTCAAAAGGGAGCAAAATACACAACTAATGTGGTATAGACTGTAGAATACCCAAACAGAATACTGAATAGAATATATACTTTCAAAACGCGCCAATACAGGTCCAACCTGAAAAGCAAATTGTTTATGACGCGCACATAACCAGCGTACACCTAATTATAAACCCAAGTGGTATGATTGCCACCTGGGGCCGCAAGCAACAAAAGAGCTATCATCTTCTTTTACTACTACGAAGAATGATGGTCGGGGGTGCCCATAATTTAATCGACCTCCTCAATCTTGGGGCCAGCACCGCCAGCAGTAGCGGGGGCCTCATCCTCCATTCCGCCAGCCATGTCAGCACCGGCGCCCTGGTACATCTTGGCAATGATGGGGTTGCAGAGGCCTTCCAGCTCCTTCATCTTGTCCTCAAACTCTTCCACCTCGGCGAGCTGGTTGCTGTCCAGCCAGTGGATGGCCTGCTCCACAGCGTCCTCAATCTTCTTCTTGTCATCGGCAGGAAGCTTCGAAGCAATCTTCTCGTCCTGGATGGTGTTCCTCATGTTGTAGGCGTAGTTCTCCAGAGAGTTCTTCGCCTCATTCTTCTTCTTGTGCTCCTCATCCTCGGACTTGTACTTCTCTGCTTCCTGGACCATCTTCTCAATGTCCTCCTTGCTCAGCCTTCCCTTGTCATTGGTGATGGTGATCTTGTTCTTCTGCCCAGTCGTCTTGTCTTCAGCAGAGACATTCAGAATACCATTGGCATCAATGTCAAAGCATACAGTGATCTGAGGGACGCCCCTAGGTGCAGGGGGGATTCCAGAGAGCTCAAATTTCCCAAGGAGGTTGTTGTCCTTAGTCCGGGTCCTCTCGCCCTCATAAACCTGGATCAGCACACCGGGCTGGTTGTCCGAGTATGTGGAGAAGACCTGCTCCTTCTTGGTTGGAATGGTGGTGTTCCTTGGAATAAGCACAGTCATGACTCCTCCAGCAGTCTCGAGACCAAGAGACAGTGGGGTCACATCAAGAAGGAGAAGGTCCTGGACCTTCTCATTGCCCTCCCCGCTAAGGATTGCAGCCTGGACAGCAGCACCATAGGCAACGGCCTCATCCGGATTGATGCTCTTGCAGAGTTCCTTCCCATTGAAGAAGTCCTGCAGCAGCTGCTGAACTTTGGGGATCCTAGTCGAACCACCAACAAGTACAACATCATGGATAGTGCTCTTATCCATCTTGGCATCCCTCAGGCACTTCTCCACAGGCTCCATGCACTTCCTGAAGAGGTCCATGTTAAGTTCCTCAAACCTGGCTCTGGTGATAGTGGAATAGAAATCAATGCCCTCATAGAGAGAATCAATTTCAATTGTAGTCTGCGCTGTGGAAGAAAGTGTCCTCTTAGCCCTCTCACATGAAGTCCTAAGCCTTCTCAAAGCCCTGGGGTTCCCAGTGATATCCTTCTTGTGTTTCCGCTTAAATTCCTGGACAAAGTGGTTCACCAAGCGATTGTCAAAATCTCACCACCGAGGTGAGTGTCACCAGCTGTGGCCTTCACCTCAAATATACCCTCCTCGATAGTGAGGAGTGAGACATCAAAAGTTCCACCTCCAAGGTCGAAAATAAGGACATTCTTCTCACCAACACTAGTAGCTTTCTTGTCAAGACCGTAGGCAATTGCAGCAGCAGTTGGCTCATTGATGATACGCATGACATTGAGACCAGCAATAACACCAGCATCCTTAGTTGCCTGCCTCTGGGAATCATTGAAGTAAGCAGGAACAGTGACCACAGCATTCTTCACAGTTGATCCAAGGTAAGCTTCAGCAATCTCACGCATTTTGATAAGAACCATGGAGGAAATTTCCTCAGCTGAGAACTGCTTCTCCTCACCCTTGTACTGCACTACAATCATAGGCTTATCCGCTGGGCCAGAAATAACCTTGTATGGCCACATCTTAATATCACTCTGAACACAGGCATCAGAGAACCGTCTTCCAATAAGACGCTTAGCATCTGCATAATTTCATAAAAAGAACCACCATTAGAATCATAATTTGATGTTACGTTCAGCATCTCTGCTTATATAAATGCCTACAGTCTTGCCCACAGATATTATTTTTAAAGTAACAAGAACTGCATGAGTCTCAACGTCAACAGAAAATTAAGTGCCGGTTCAAAAATGCCATTAGAATAAGCCCTTTTATTGGATTAAGTTTCTGAAGCAATGGGCAGTTATAATAATATATCATGGATAAACAAGATCTCAAACTACGCCTCAAAACAGTTCAAATGTACGAATTATCATGGATACACCTTATGCGTGATGTGTATATGCAAACCTAAAAAGAACATGCATCAACAATAACCATCTTTTGGATACACCTTATGTGATGTGTATATGCAAACCTAAAGAACAAATCTAACATGGTTTAGGGGTACATGTGAAACATAATTTTTATTATATATAGTATGAAAGATATATACATAATTTAAGTGCCAGATGTCCATGTCAATCAGACTCAAATTAGCAACTTCAACCAACATGACTATTCTTACAGCAAACATGACAAAAGAATACAAAGTATAACCAAGAACAGCTTAAAGCATAACAGAAGCCAATAATCAAAGTCAAAGTCAATTTAATACTCCGTTTGAATCTAGAAGGTGCATTTCATTTCGTTAGGAAAGCCTTTGACCAGCAATCTATATACCAATACATGGTTTTGTAACAATAAATTGCTGTCCGCAATAAAAAATGGTTATCATTTTGTATCACATAAATGACATATTGAAAAAGAGTAATTGATCAACAAAGTCTTGTAGAAATAGACCTACTAACTCCAAAAGCAGGGTCAGCATGCTTATATATATAGTATAGACATAGAAAAGGTAGCTAAAATCTATAGGTCATTTACAAATGCATTAGAAATATAGAAACAGCTCCAACTACAACAGCTATGTCAGGCCAGCAAATAATTCCAAAATATTGTGCTAGGACTGGTTCAAAGAGCACTGAGTCAGGCCAAGCCTGTTTAAACAATACAAACTGGACCCTACAAAACCGAAATTTATACAGTTTGCCACAATATAAAGACGAATTTGTCTTCACACACCATAAAGACGAATTTGTCTTCACACACCATATCAATGTGCAAATGCAGTCATAATAGGTCCTAGAGAGCCATAATGTTGCAAATAAGAGTGCCATGAGAACTACTGGAAATGATAAAAGAACTATGTTTGTGTATGTAAGTATAAAATGCATAACTAGTGACTAATGGATAACAGTGACTTCACGGACGTGTCACCCAACATGGTTTGAATATTTCAAAACCAAAAACTTTTATGTGCCAATTCTCCTAGTGAACAAACAAATACATAAATTACAATAACAGAAAGACAAATCATCATGGTGAGCATAGTACAATCCAATATAAATTCCTTTCTCAGATGAATTTCTACAGCAAACATAGCTCAATCCAATATAAATTATTTTTTCAGATGAATTTATAACACTTTAATAACCGCTAAGTATAAAACAATACCTGGACAGTGCATTATCACCTAGTCCAATCATATGTAATGTGAACGGACTAGAAAACGAAACAGCATTGCGGATCAGATCTTTGCAGCCTTGAACACACCACTGCGCACACACAACAATTCGACTATACCTTACTTCCAAACTAACAATGCGCACTAGATCGAGCACAACAAACGGAGTCCATCAGACAAACCCTCCGTTACTCCGAAAACGATAGGATCCACGAGATTAAACTCTACCACGCGTATCGCATCAGGAACAGAGAAGCGGAAGAGGCGTGCTTACCGAAGACGGTGTTGATGGGGTTCATGGCGACCTGGTTCTTCGCGGCATCGCCGATGAGGCGCTCGGAGTCGGTGAAGGCGACGTAGGACGGCGTGGTGCGGTTCCCCTGGTCATTGGCGATGATCTCGACGCGGTCGTGCTGCCACACACCGACGCAAGAGTACGTCGTGCCCAAGTCGATGCCGATCGCCGGTCCCTCACCCTTGGTCGGCGCCATTGCTGCGTCTAGATCGCTCGCGGCGGCGGACGAGAAGGGGCAGCTAGGGTTAGGGTTTTCGCGGCTGCGCTTAGAGTAGAGGCGATTGCTGCTGCGGTTTTCAGATGCGGAGGCGGCGCCGATGTGGTGGTATTTGTACACAGAGTTCGCTTGGTCTTGGTCTCCCTCCGGAATTGCGGGAGAGCGTGGCCCAACCAGGGCCCAGTTCGAACTCTACAGCGTCTGCAGGCGGGGCCCGTAGAATATAAGTGTTTGACTGTTTGCTTTCTCCACGTGATGGGTGGTCTGTTCGTCTGGCTGCCAATGGACCCATAACCGAGGGTAATTCTCTTTTGTTCCTAATATACTCCTGTTTTACCATATTTGACCACGCCTCGGGGCAAAACTTTCACAATACTAGTTTCAAAAAAAAAACTTTCACAATACTATTTTATCCTCTCTTTTTTCGCGATCGTCAAAGAGAGAACTTTATTTATCACCGAAGAATAGAATTGCAATATTGAGTATGCAGGGGATGAGCTTCAGCTAGGCCAAAGAGGACATGGCCCCTCCTCAATCTGCGTACTTTTTGAGTTTATCTTGGCACCCTTCTTGTATGATCCCGTTTGGTAGAGCTCCGGTTTTAGCCAAAATAGTTTTAGTCATGGCTTCACCTGTGGAGCAGATTCACATGAGGAGCTAAATTTGGTTTTTAGACAGTTTGACAAAACAACTTCTCCTTATGATGAAAAGGGATGAAATGCCTAGAATATCCTTTTTCTTTTTTTCTCTCCTTTTATTTCTTTTTATTTATTCTTTTTCTCACTACCTTATCTCTACCTTATCACCCCGCACACGGATAGGCCTCGCGTAGGTCGTTGCTCCCCTGTTCCTCTTCCCCGTGCGTCGGCTTTGTCACACCTCCCCGTGTCGAGGCCACGGCTCCTGGCGCCTCGAAAGCGTGGCGCAGATCGCCTCTAGCCTTGCCTCTCAGATCTCGCCACCAAGACGCCCCACAACCTCTACGGTTGCGCCACTCAAAGACTGGGCCACCGCCGCCTCGCGTTCAAGGGCCTCGTTCCCGGTTCCAGCGGATCCAGCGCCGGTGTCCAGCAGGCGCACCGCCGCCACCCTCGCAGACGCAATGGGGCCCGCTACCACTAGAGGAAGCCAGAATAAGCCACAAATTTTAGCTCCTACTCTCTCTCCTCCCTTGTCTCAGCAGGAATTCCGGGGCTTCTTCCTAAGATCTAAGCAGGCCAGAGGCGTTTGGCAGGTGGAGCCGAAAAACGGATTCAGGAGTCGGCCAATAATCTATACCAAACGGGCCCTATATTAGTCACCAAGCTCCGCCACTAGATGTATGTTTTGCCATTGCAGCTCATCAGCGACCTTATTTTGTCATCTCCCTATATAGTCTAGAATTTCACCTCCGACAACGCTCGCTAACAGCCTGTTCATTTGCTCGTATACGATCGTGGATTATAAGCTGAAACATTTTCTCTCACACCAAACCAGCCAGCAGTAAATAATCCACAATCGTTTACGGCCTGCCGAATAGGCCTCGAGACACCCCTTCAACAGATACATAAGACGGGATCTCTGTTGTATGAGTTTTGAGCGCGTACGAGTTATATGTAGTCCGGCTTCACAAATGCCTTGCGTAGTCTTCTGCTAAGCCCAATCCCCCCTGCAAGCCAAAGCTCAACCCCTTCTGCGTTCGTGGCAACGACATGTCCAATATCATCCCTGATGATCACGCTAATCCCTACTCACCTTGACTCTTGCTCGAAAGCACCATCAGTATTTACCTTAACCCAGCCTGTTCGGGCTGCTTTTTCAGACAGCCATGCAGCTGCATATTTTCACTGTTAGTACGGTGTTTTGTGACATTCATCGTCAGCAGCACTGTAAAGACTAGCAGCTGAACAGTAGGTTCCACCTCATAGCCAAGGATGATCTGACAATAGGTTTCTTCCCGTTCCCCTCTCTCGGTTAGGCTGTGATAAGCAGTTCATGACAGTAATGCTCTAGGAAAATCACCGAAGCTGGGCACCTATCCCTGTTCGTTTGAACTTATCAGCTATGGTATAATATTTTTCTCTCACAACAAATCAGCCGACAGTACTTTTCAGCCTGGCTTTTCACATGCTCACGGGCTAACAAGTTGGATAAATATGGATGTGAACTACCATTCTTTTTTCACACTATGTTTTTTTTAGTTGCTCTTAATTGACCACCTATCCCTGTTCGCTTGAACTTATCAGCTATGGTATAATATTTTTCTCTCACAACAAATCAGCCGACGGTACTTTTCAGCCTGACTTTTCACATGCTCACGGGCTAACAAGTTGGATAAATATGGATGTGAACTACCATTCTTTTTTCACGCTATGTTTTTTTTAGTTGCTCTTAATTGACCGCCCCCCCAATCAGTGCAAAAAATGGGGTTTAAGGAGACAACATAATCCTCTAGCTGGACTCTACATCTTGAATTAACAACTTTCCCATATGGTATTATGAAAATACAGGTGGTCAAGGCGTCTAGCTTAGCAAACTCTATGTAAATACACCCTGTAAATATTGAATTGGTTGTACGTTCCTCTTGGCCATACTTAAAAGGTTAAAGGAGGCTTATCTGGAAGGTTGCACTTTGGCCTTTGCCTATGTGCCCCTGCCTCTGCCTTGACGAGGCTTACAGGTGCCTTGATTGTCCATTGATAGTTTGATCAGAAAGCTGAACTAACGACCTATGCTCATAGGATCATATGCCATTGCATGGTTCTGGTGGTTCTTGCAATAACCATTTGGCTTCAGAGAATGAAATGCTGGCATTGCAGCGGTGTTCGTCGCATCCAACTCTTGACTCTTGACGTGTTTGCTTCTGTGGCGCCGCTAACTGTGACTCGTGTTGATGGATCATCAAGAGTTACTGCGCTTTGATACTCTTCCCATGTTTGTTTAAGTCCATGGGTGCTGTGCGTTGTTTGTAAGCAAATGCAGTCCTCAAGTATTTAAAAAAAATGCAGTCCTTAAGTTGCTTCATCCTTTTTAACCTGAAATGGTCCATCCATTTGTGCAGGTAACAGATGCATGGACATATGAGCCAAATTTCAAGCGTCAACAGAACTAAAGCAGCTAGACCATGCATTAGTATTAAGAACCCTTTAACCCATGTTCTGATGAACAAAACACAAGGACAAGCAGCACAAGTCAAATTTATAAGTAGAGTCAAGTACTCGCCGCTCACACAAGGATACTGAAGACACGACCAAATTTGAAATTATAGAGATACACATGAACAAGTCTTCATGGAAATTAACCAATACAGTCTACTGGTCAACATGAACTTACTAAATAACGGTTGCACAAAAGCTTACAACTTGTTTGTAAGTAGTTGCTGTCCTGAAGGAATTAATTTCAAAAATCTATAATTTGCTTCCTAACAGAAATGTAGCTGAGACGTAGAGTACATGAGAACCAATGAAGGCTTCAAATAGCAACAGGCACAGTATGTCAGAATTGTTGGTTTTATTTTAAGCTGTGCACTATTTTGACATACAAGTCCACAATGCTTGCAAAAACAAAGGTGCGATTCAGCACTTAACTGTGATGGAATTCATTACACACATACTCAACAATTGCTTAGAACACCACCTCCAAAATTTGTGGATCAGGATCATGAAATAAAGTGGAAAAAATAAAAAGAAATACTTTACAACCAAACTGAAGTCCAAGAATTGCTAGTTAAATCTTCAGCTTCAAATGTGCTATGCAAGATTCAGAAATCACGGTAAGTAATCATTATGACAACTTGGTGATCAGCTCTTGAAAATCAAAAACCACCCAGTCGGCTTCTACTGCGACTGGCTCCCTCATTTGAACACCGGCATAACAGATGAACAAGTCTGCCCCGCCAGGTTGCCGAGCCTGCAAAGACATGGGCTAATTAATCTAGCTGTATAACATTTTATTGTGCTACAGCATTATTGTTAAATTGCTATAAACTAATATATCAGAAAAGTCTGGTACCATTAAGCTGCACTGCATACACCCATTTAGTTATATCTCTCTGAACTATTCACTAACTAAAGAATAGCAGCGATATGTCAATAGCCTTAAACCAATTTCTTTCAACAGGCCTTAAGCAAAACAAACTCTTTGACCCACTCTTTGTTACATCAAGCTAAATTATATCCCTTATATTTTTGCTGAAGTTCAATCACCTATTATTTCTATCTCATGCTACATGAACAAGAGAAACAAAGTTACAAGATTTGAGTGGAACACAAACAGTGAGAAAGGTTTGCATGACTCAACAATCAAATCAGCCAGGAAGCATGACCATATCATTACAAAAATCAAGTCAGTATCGATAACTGCCCTTTACCCAATAAGACATATCATCCTTGTGCATATCTATTGTCAGGAATTCAGGATAGAAGTTTCAAAGGCGTTATCCAGTCATATACCTCAAGATCAGTTGCGCCATCACCAATCATAACGACTGCCTTGTAGCCATGGTCCTGAACACAAAGAAAGGTCAGCACAATGGTCAGAAGTAAAGAGTGAAACCAAAAGATAGACAGTTTAACTAGACCTGTTTTATTTGCAGCACTGCTTTTGCTTTACCCCCACCGCGTGAAGTGGGCTCTGTGGGATCAAATCCAGCGTACTCCCCCGAAGTGCCAAAGAGCAGATGGTTTGCAATGATGTTTTCAGGAGGAATACCAAGCTCAAATGCCACAGGCTGGAAACAAGGAAAACATTTAAGTGATGATTTTGAGCCAGTAAATGATAACCCATTATATATATGTGAGCAACCACTTTCGTACTGTATATATTAAGCAAATTTACAACTGAACTAGGGGGGGGCAGACCCAGTGCCGGAGGCTCCCACATCAACGGGGTCTGGGGAAGGGAAAAACTGAGGCAAGCCTTCCTCCCACAAAATCTGCAGAGAGGCTGCTTCAAACCCGCGACCTGGTGACTCAGTGAGACAGCTCTCACCACTGCACCAGGTTACATCTGAACTAAAGTGTAATTAAAATAAATTGTACCTTTTAGTTTGCTCCAACAACTGGAATATAACGAACATACAAATTTGAGTACGAGACAGCCGAAACGAACCATGGTATGATATTACAGGACCTACCTTGATCATTTGTCGGAAGCCTCCTGACACAAGGAATACATCAATATTATTAGCTTTTAGCTTCTTAACCAAATCAGCCATTCCACGAGAAATCCTGCAAACAAAAAAAGCAGTGCTATTGATAATCCTTTAAATTGGACCAAGAAAATGAATAATCCTTGTTTGTAAGTTGAAACACAGTGCTTAATTCTGTTGCAGTGCGGGGAAAACAATGCTGAGTGATTTCTCTCTTTGTTTTATACTGTATTTAAAGAAATCTTAGAGCACTGCTACGAAAGGCATAAGGCAAACTTGCCAAAACGATAATGATGTGGTTGTCTGTACAGATTTTAAATATAACTACACATTTTTTTTCTTGCTGTGAAAAGAGAAACCCGGTCAATCAATTATCATTACTAAGCACTTTCTGTTCTATACAGAGTTACATATAAGGGAGGAACAGACAAGGGATAAACACCCATACCCATTATTTCCAAAAGGTAAATAGCAGTGGTGCTGAATCCAAATAGTTAAAAAGGATGGAAACCAAGGACACTAAAATACCAGGTACCATATAGATTAACATGAGGTTTAGAATAAGGCGAGGTTACCTAAAAAAAGGATGGAAACCAAAGACACCAAAATACCAGCTACCATATATATTAACATGAAGTTTAGAATAGGCGAGGTTACCTTGGTGGCCTCTTCTTCAGGCACTCCTCCACCTGGGAGAGAGATGGCTTAATTAAAGACAGCCTGGCTGACAGCGCCTCCTCAAATGGAACAGTCCCAGTCATGGCTCTAAGAATATTAAGCCATGGTTAGTTCTTCCCGCAAAATCCACAGTCCAGATGAACCAATCTACACAACGGAGCATTTACTTTGATGTCCATTCAGCAACAGCTTTCCCTGCCCCACAGAAATCAGCAAGCTCGTCAATACCCTCATCCAGGATGATGGTGCTATCGACGTCGAAACATACTGCATCAGCATTGCGCAATGTCTCAATAACCCCTGTAAACATGCAGGCAAGCAATGTGCAAGTTACTCCCAACTTACAGCGCAGTCAAGGACTCTGACACGGACATTGATCAGCCGCATGGTAGACTGACCTAAACAGCCTCTAGAAGGCTTCCAATAAGAAAATTAAAGAACCTTTGGGAGGCTGGCTATTCGCCAGAACCGCCGAGGACCCATCCTTGGATACATCCAGTGCTGCTACCAGTAAAGCACGGCTCTCACGAATGTTAGCAGAATGAAATAGCGGGCTTGGAAACCAAGCCGCCACTTGTAAAGCCGGAGGTGTCCGAGCGAACGACGACCGAGGAACTGACGGCAAACTCCTCAGACTGGCACGCAACCTGATCAGGCCGGCCATAACATGTGTACCTGCAAATCAGACAACGGAACACGGGATTCAGGGCTGACCCAGTAAAGAACATGGGTGTACCGTGTACACATATACTTCCTTCATCCTGTAATACAATGCATTCAAAAAATGTAAGACAACTGAAGGGACTAATCAAATGGCCTACTCATGGATTTTTTTTTCGTGAACGTGCAATTTTGCCCTACTCATGGATTAAATCCAATTAAATAGTTTCTTGTCAAATTATGGTTTCCTTTTTAACAAACTTTGACCAATCTGAGCATATAGGCACCACATAGAATGTCTTATATTTCAGTACAAGTTTTATAAGTCATGATGTCCTGTATTCCAGGACGGGCGTACACCCGATAATTTTTGTTAAAAAACAGAGAATCGAATTGTAGGCATAACATGTGCATATTACACTTGTGATTGGATCAGATCAGATCGAATTGTAGGCATAACATGTGTACATTACACTAGTGATTGGATCAGATCAGATAAGATCCGAATACAAACAGCTTAGGCTAGGGTTTGGGTGCTCGGGTTCGTACAGAAGGAACGGGAGAGAAGGGGTGGGCGTACCTGGTGGTGCTCGTCGCCGGCGAAGGCGCCGAAGATGAAGGCCTGGCAGTGGGCACCTGGCGTCGGCGGCGCCGCCGCTAGAGACAGAGTCACAATCTCACAGAGAGCGCACGTGAGTAGGCGGGTACGCCACTGGTCTCTTTGGACAGTGCCACTACACACAGTGTACTGCCTTTTTTTATTTATTTAACGAATGATCAAGTATCTTGGTAAGGCCCCGTTTACTTTCGAAAATTTTTGGCTTTTGGCTACTGTAGTATTTTTGTTTTTATTTAACAAAAATTGTCTAATTATGGACTATTTAGGCTTAAAAGATTCGTCTCACGATTTCTCAGCTAACTGTGTAATTAGTTTTTTTTTCGTCTATATTTAGTACTCCATACATGTGCCATAAGATTTGATGTGACGGGGAATCTTGAAAATTTTTGGTTTTTGGCTTGGAACTAAACGGGGCCTAAATTGAAATCTCCGAGCTCAAGACAAGGAGAGTGTTCTTCTCGACATGTATTGACTCAGTTTTATCAAAGATGTTTACACTGGAGAACTGATTGCTAGCTCAGTTGGGGCCTATTTGGCAGGGCTCTGGTTCCTCTGAAAATGGCTCTGGCTCTAGTTTCTCTGAAGGAGCAGCTTCTCTGGAGGAGCTGAAACCGTTCTGGAAAACGTTTGGCAAAACGACTCCTTCGCACTAGACGACGTGAATCCACAGCAAGGAGCCGCGCGAAGCTCGTTTTTAAGGCTTCTCCTGCGCAGGCAAAAAATAGCTCCGGCTCTTGACTGGCTTCCCATGCGGAGCCCTTTCCAAAACAGGCGTTTAGCACAGCTCCTGCAGGAGCCGGAGCTGAAGCCCCTGCAGGAGCCCTGCCAAAGAGGCTCTTGGTGTGCGCCACCCGCCCAGGTTCGATGTCTAGTATCGACACCAGATGTCTCATCGGGAATAGTATTTTTCTTGATAATTTCAACTGCCTCACTTGGATGTGCCACCACTGTTATATCTTTTAGCTGTGTTCTCTTAGCCTTAGATATAGATTGTAGGTCTAGTTTACGCATTAGGGGTGTGTGTGAGTATGTTAGGGTGTAAGCGTATGGTGTGAGTTAGTGCATGAGTTGAGATACTACAGGCGATCAACGAAGATACATAGAGATTAGAGAGTATAAATGTACCTTTTTATAGAAATAGTGATTATATCTAAAATTTCATGGTATATGCGTCCTTGCGGCATATATCTATACAGCCGCAAGGCAAATGTGTTATCCTCTAATTTGCTTTAACTTCGACACCTGCTATCCATAGAGAGGTGTATATAGTGACTTGCCCATCTCAAAACCTTACGATCAGTCTCACATAAGTGCTCATAAAATAGCATGTATGTAGATATATGTATAGACGGTAAGTGTACATGTATGTACACGAGCGTTTTATATTGTGATAAGTAGAAAGTGACACAAGAATCTCTATTTACTAGAAAACATCGCGCGGCTTTGCCGCGCGGGCCAGTAGGTGCCAGTGTTATGGAGCTGCTAGTAGTTGCGTAGAAGTCCAATCCAGTGTAAGCATTTTAATTTTGAGATTTACCTAATTTGAAGTCAAAACATGAATATTATTAGGAGAAAGTCGACTTTCATCGATGGAGCTTCTGCGCGGTCTAGGGTGACGATTGGTGAGGAAGGGAAGAAATCCGGCGGCGCGTAAAATGAGTCGTGGGCTGAGTAGGCGGAGATTGCTCCGACTCGGCGCTCGCGTATGCTTCCTCGTCCATCCGAAAGCTCGCGAATTCTCTCACAGCGCAGCGAGGTCGGGCTGGCCGCACGCCAGAGCCCACCGGCGAGTTGACACAGCAGGGCACGGTTTTTCTTTGGATCTCTGATTGCAGCAGGATAATCTCTCAATCGTTTTATTTTATGCGTGTTATGGGTAAGCTACCATAAAAATCTCATAGCAATTTGAATAAAGAAACTAACTCTATTAATTATTTATAGAAAACTCTAGAGAAATCTAGATTCACATTAATAGCAAAAAATTACACTAAAACATGTGATGTTATGTGTTTACAGTGTAGTGCTAGTTGTGTAGAGTTAACAAACTTGGTTTGTCAGACCCATTTGAAGACTATCTGTTGTCTTAGTCAGGTAGAAATAGAACGGATTCTAGACGTATTGACGTATACGGTGGTGTACAACCTGAGCTATCATTTATGTGTACGCAATAAATAGAACTGATTGAAGATGCATTTTGTTTGTCAGTTGCAAAACTTATATTTTCTTTCACTTAGACATATATAAGAATAAGATCCCAATTACATCTCTGCATAACATAGAGTTAGATTCGTAGTTTATTTTCTGTATTAGAATGTGTATGAGCAGAAGTTTAATGTTTGAACAAATCATTCAGAGTTCATGTTCTCTGGGCAGTAGCCTAACCGGAAATATGTAATGATCTCAAATTAATGCCATAAATAGTTGTAGGGAAAAACATATAGTGGCTTGATTACAGAATAGTGATTTATCGGACCAAAAATTGGAAATCATGGCTCACGCTACATCCATGGAAATACGGCAAAATACCAAGTTCCATCTAGAAGCCGTGCCTACAAAGACGAAAGTGGTGACGCTCACACCTGTGAGGAGAGAGGTAGGTGCACCGCACATACTTGTTAATTCCGTTATATGGAAACCATTCCAGTTTAACGTTTGGAATGATATATTTCGATATCGGTCTATTCGTATGTCCTCATTTATTATTTTGAATATTAGTTTTTTATTTTAAGATAATTTTTTAGTGCCTGAAGTAGTGAGATGAATACTTAATCCATTCCAAATTGTAAGACGTTTGACTTTTTTGACATCAAGTTTGACCACTCGTCTTATTCAAAAATTTATGTAAAATATCACTTCTTTCGTCGTGGTTTGGTTTATTAATAAAAATTCTTCAAGAATGACTTAAATTTGACTATATTTGCACAAAATTTTTGAATAAGACGAGTGGTCAAATTTGAGATAAAAAAAGTCAAACGTCTTATAATTTGGGACGGAGAGAGCAGGATAGAAGACATCTTGAGCAGGCCAACTGGTACTTGTTGGGCCCCTTCAGCCTTACCCGCGTACCTGTACCGATGTTTCTTCAATAGGATTAATAGCAGCTACACACGTCCAGGAGACCTCGAAGGCCCGAGCACGCAAAGCCGCCGCTTGCCTGCGTTGTAGCCGGTCACCGCGCTCGTTTGCCCGGCGTAGATGCTCACCCGTGCCGCGCGTTCGCTCGTGCAGCCGTCGCTCCGGCGCTCACTCGCTCATGCGGCCGCAGCTTCCTCGCGCCACCGCAGCTAGCTCGCCCGTGCGGCCGGCACTCCCTATTCCCCAGCCCCCCATAGTTCAGCTCGCCCGCCCGCTCGAGCTGCCGTCCCCATTTGCCGCACCACCCTTCACCGCCGGCGTTGGTCCGCGCTACATCACTCGGAGGCCGGAGCTCGGGATGTGGGAGGAGGGACGCGCGCGCCGTGCCGCCGTGGCAGGTGAAGTCGAGCGCGGCATGTGGAGACTGGAGAGGCAGAGGGGACGAGCGGGTTCGCGAGCCTTCGCGAGACTTCGGGTCCGTGGCTTAACGGTTGAGCCCGCTACAAACCCGATCGAACGGCTCATATTGCGTCTTTGCCAGATCCAACGGCGTGGCACTATCCATTAGCCTGCTTTTGGAAGCAGGATTCCTATAGTAAGATTTTAACAACACATCCGATCTTTTTAGATTATATACTTCATTCATTCTAAAATTATAAGATATTTTAGCTTATTAGATACACAGTTTTTACTATGCACATAAATATACATGTCTAGACATGTATTAAAACAATGTATCTACAAGAACCAAAACGTCTTATAATTTGAAATGTAGGAATTATCACTTTAATTTTGTTCTAAGTCAAATCAACTTATATACCATTTTAATCTTGCTCCAAGTCAAACTTATTCAACTTAGACTAAATTTTACTAGTTTAAATAAATGCAAAATCATTATATATTTTGTGGTGAATTTAGTAAAAAATACTTTGATATTGTGGTATTGTTGTATTTCCAATTTGACCAAAGTTAGAAAAGTTCAAGAGAAAAAAATAAATCTAGATACCTAATACTAAAAGTGCTATTTTTTCATCTAGTCATCACTCTCACCCTCGAAGTCTTGTCACTCTCCCCTGATTATCTCTCCTTGCCTCCCTTAATCCATCAGGCCCAGATAACAATTGTAGACTGTATCATCTTTTGACATAGCATTAATTATAATTTAAATTTGCTAAACCTTAGTTGACGCTGCACCACCCATATTACGCCATGGCCACCTAAGCTGTGAGGCGCCCATGTTGCGTACACATGATGGCCGCTTTTTCAACTTTCTAAACCTCATAACACGATGCACACAATAGCCATTTATT